TGATCCAGCAAAACACTCATTTTAATGCTTATGCTACAAGGGTAGCTACCACCAAAGACTAAAGCTACAAATGAAACAAGCGGTTCGTGAATAGGGGCCAACGGAGCCTCCCAATTTTTTTTTTATCAAATTTAACCCCCTCCCCAAAAAAATTATTTTCGACCCACTCATTATTGACTCAAGTAATAGTAAATTTGGAAATAAATATAACTTTTCAGAAACTTGAATCCCTTTAGTTTTAGTTTTAGTATTAAAGTCCAATATTGAACAACAAATACTCCGTGTGTAAGTATCAACCCATTTAGGGAATATATATATATATATATAAGTTCATTATTATGGTAGGCTTTACACATGACACGTGTATGATCTATTTTTTTTTCTCCACACACATATGATATCTATTATATGTATACAAAAATAAAAAAAAGGAAATTACATTATCATCTACTCATGCTTCTTTTTAAGACATTTTGTTAGATGGTGTTAATAGAAAAAAAATATTTTAAATTATATACTAATCTAGTTTTTGAAGCACAAAAATGAGGAATTAGTATCTTGCGTTCTAATATATGTAGTTGTCACTTGTTAAATGAAAAGTTCTATTGCTACTCATTTTAATAGATTTTTAAAGTACTAATTTAGTCAAAATGATAATTTATTTTATTTTATTATGGAGGGCGATTGAATTTATTAAAAAAAACAGAAATTATTATTGTTATTTATCACTTTTCTGATTTTGTAATTATCGATTATTTGTACATTTGCCAATAGGGATGACCTATCATAATATAGGATTATATTTTTTCCTTCGCGTCTTCTATCCATATTTAAAATGATGAAATTTCATTAAAGAGAAATGATGATTCATCCATCATTCTCTTTTTCTTCTCTCGTTACTTCTTCTCTTCCAAACAAATAATGTGTATTTCTTTTTTCCTATCTTCTCCCCACCTCTTTTCTTTTTTTCTTACCAAACAACGAGCATAAAAGTTTTGAAAACAATCAGGGTTTAACCCAATTAGATCCAAATCAATCCTAAATTGATTCTTTCTCCTTCCCGTTGCTACTCTAATTTTTTTTTTCCTGGCTACAACGTTACTACTCTATTTCACTGTCAACCAAAACTTCTACAGTATTTTTTTTCACCACCATAGGTGTCTATGAGTCACTAATTATTTACCCTTTCTTTTATTTCTTAAAGCCCCTCATGTCGGTTCAAAGGTAATCAACAGATTTTTTATTTTTTATACTTATATACATCTTAAATCTTAGTCCAACATTCCAAAAAAAAATTCAACGTAATCTCTATACATCACCGTACCATATACCTCCATTCACAAAATAATGGAGAAACCCACTTCAGTATTCTCCACCGGTAATCAGTGGCTGACTGGCTGCACATAGAGTCAATTTATTTATTTTAATCAGTGTTACCATAATCTCATCTCATAAGTCAACAAATCAAATAAAAATAAATAAAATATTCATGAAATAAATACAATCCATCCATAAAGATACCTATGGTGGTGAAAAAATTATAATTTTTTTGGTGAACAATGAGGTAGAGCAGCTTTAGAAGGAGAGAGAATATCAGTTTAGGTTTTTATTTTTATTTATTTATTTATTTATTTTAGTTGATTTTCATATACATGTCTCTTCGAAGACGACCTCTCTTTAAAAAAATAAGAGGTTGATACCATGCTACTAGCCCGTTAGTTAAGTTTTTAAGCATCATTAGAGAGATAAAGTTCATCACATGGGGAGAGAGTTTTGGGGGAAGAGAGAATTGGTTTAGGATTGATTTGGATTCAATTGAGTTTAATCAGCATATTTTTCAAATCTTTTAGTTTTATTATTTTTTAATATAAAATATTTGTGATTTTAGTACCAGTCACATCAATAATAAGTATGAATTTCCTATTCACAAATTGACAAATGATAAAATTTTGTATATATATTATGTTTCGTCCTACCGATTAATTATCGACGTATTTTAATGGTTAGATGTCGTTACACACCTTCATGAACTGTCCGATTCAACCTATTTACACCGATATTTGCTTAGGTCTATTACAACCAATGTTGCGAATACAAACCATGATATATATTTTAACTTTAAACTTTACCAATGACCTTTTTCATTATTATAACTTCCCTAAGTTTCTGAAACTCCTTATGTTTCTTTTTGGCTATATTCTACTACCTTACTCCGGTTTAGTTTATAATACCATTTGATACCGTATAAGAACTCAGAAAATGTGAATTATATATTTTCGCTGATACAATTATGGTATTGGATTGAATAATTCACATTTTCTGAGTTCTTATCTGGTATCAAATGGTATTATAAACTAAACCGGAGTAAGGTAGTAGAATATAGCCAAAAAGAAACATAAGGAGTTTCAGAAACTTTAGGGAAGTTATAATAATGAAAAAGGTCATTGGTAAAGTTTAAACTTAAAATTTAAAATTTTCCTATTAAAACAGTGAGTTAGTGACAGAAGCCATATATTTGTCCACAAGCAACAAGGGTTGCTTTAAATCCACAAAGTTGAATAAAATTGAAATATTATTAATTAAATGTTAAATTTTGCTCTTGTAATGCATGAATATTTATCATAAAGAAAAGCTAACACTAAAAGGAAATTAATCCTAGAAATAACCCTAAAAATAATTTTTTTCTAAAAATTCTGAATAAGAAACATAATCAATAAAAACTACTAAATATAAACTCTCATAACATTCTGACTTCATTAAGTTCTGGAACAAAAATTCGAAAATAATCAGTAGGCCTCCTATAACACAATAAAATGTAATTTCGGATACCTAAACTAAGGTTTTCAGCCGAAAACTAACATGAATCACAAGCATAAGCTAGTGGGTTTTTTTTTCAATGCATCATTTCAACCCAAAAAACACTCCAGTCGGGTCAAAAATGGACTTAACATTATGTTTACCATTTCGTCCTGCATTAGTTCTTTCCACTTCAAAAAAAAAAATCATTTTGCGAATAACATGAAATATTTCCTACCATAAAATCATATTGTTCATTGTTATGAGAACCTCCAAAACACAAAACCAAATTATCTTCATTGGCACCTTTTAGAATTAAAACTTTTTCATTGACAATCTCCTTAAATATTGGTACTTCACCAACTTGAAGCCCGAATTATCCTCTACCATCTTGGACATCTGATTTGGTAAAATTATTAACCCACTTATCATCAATTAGTTCTTGTTGCTCAATTTTAACATCAAACTCTGTGTCACCATCTTCTTTGGTTGTGCTAAAGTGCTTTTCTGCATCTACCAACTCTTGCAAAAGAATTAATGTTTTCACATCTTTGACTTCATCTTCTTCAACTACAAGAGGCAAAGCAATGCAATTTTTCTCTTGATTAACCTCAATAATGTCAATCGTTACCTCAACAAAATTATTATTATTCTTGGTGTTACTATCTTTTTTGTGAATCTCTTTTTTAGACTTTTTGAAAGATGGACTCTCTTTTCGACAATTCCGATATTTTTTATGCATTATCTCCTCATAATTTGATGGTAAAAATTTGGCCATGAACATCCGTTTCATCTTGTACCATAATTGAATAGGATGTGATCCTTCTCTTTTTTGATGAAACTGTGTTTGTTCTCACCAAATTGAAGCCGATCATTTAAGCTTGAAGACAACAAGCGGAACTTGCTTGTTTTCATGTACATCAAAAAACTCAAAAAATTCTTCAACTTCTTCAATCCAGTCAAAGACATTTTCAATAATAAAACTTCCATTGAAAGTAAGTAAACCAAATTTTACTTGAAATTCACGATTGTTGCGTCTACCTCGATCACTGAAAATATAACCTATATTCAATTAGCTGTGAGACACATCATCAGCGTGAACTCGAATTGAACCACAAATCTGGTTGCCACCAATTCCAAAACCAGTTGTTACGAACCAATCTTAAGTATGCCTGCATGCCCAAGGGACCTTCATTCTGTGATCATCTTGGCAAAGTGGGTGTTACCAAAATGAGCAATCGTCATTAGCTTAGGGTAAATCAAGATACCAACTGACATAAGCGGAAAACGAAAGAATGTTCACAAGGAATCATGTTGCCTTGAATCCATAAGGAATGGTAGTTTGAATCCACAAACTAGAAGAAAATTCATAATTTTTTTTGAAATATTACTGAAATAAGGTTAAATTCTGCTCTTGCAACACATGAATATTTATAATAGAGAAAACCTAAAAATACTGGAATGAAACTAAAAACACAAGGAAAATAATCCTAAAAATAAGTCTAAAAATAAATTATCTCTAAAATTTTTGGAAAAATAGAGAAAAAAAAAATCTAATCAAATAAAAATACTAAATATGAAATCTCAACATTTCGACTTCGTTAAGGTCTCGAACAAAAATCTCTAAATAATCCAAAGGCCACCTATAACACAATAAACGCGATTTCGGAGTTTTAAACCAAGTTTTTCAGCCAATTAAAACTCACAAGCTTAAGCTAGTGAGTTTTTCTTAATGCGTCATTTCCATCGAAAAAACTCTCCACTCCGGTTAAAAAAAAGTGACTTGTCAAACTGTACACTATTCTGTAACGCATCAGCCAGGAACTTAGACCTCAAAGTTTTACCAGGTAAAATGAGATAGAGAGACACTGCACATTCGTAGATGTAATTGAGATGGGTAAAGATGATGTTGCGAAGGGAATCAACAGGGAAAGTGTAGTGGAAGGAACTGGCAAGAAGACCAAGTAAAACCCTTGGATTTTAATTTATTTAATATCCCTAAACACTAAAAATAAATCCAAAATAGAAAAGAAAAAAGAAGTGACCCTTTTCCTTCTCATTACTATATGGTTATAATTAGTCTGTATTATGAATTATTATTAATTGATAAAACCGCGTATGGAACAGTGACTATAGAGAAATTCAAAGTCATCAAACATCCATTCCAACTTCCACCTCGGACACATTTGACCAAACAGACAGACCCAGACCCAGAACAGACTTCAAAGTCATAATTCAAATACCCCCATTTCCATTACGACGAATACCAGCAACTCTCCCTTCTTCTTTTTCTTGTTTACCCAGCGGCAGTCCACACTTCCGTTCTTCCCATTAATCTCCCCTCCTCCTTGTGTCCACCTCCACCCTTATATATACACACACACATTTTCGGATCAAAAATTGAATTTTCATATTAATTTCTCTCAATTTCAGAGGTTTGAGTTACAATTCTTTAAGCTTCAAACAATGGATCTGTCTCTTTCTGGGTTGTTTGTGCGTTCTGGGTCAGAAACTATTTACTAACTTCATCTTCAAATTATTGCATCCCTTTTTTCCCAGACCTGGGAACCCCTTTTTGAATTTCATTGGCCGATTTTTATGTTTTTGCTTTCACATACATACATCCCTTTCCCCCTTTTCGAACAATTGCTGCTGGCTTTGTTGTTTTCTCTGTTGGTTCTAATAAAACAGTCAGAATTTCCTCCCAATTTTTCCAACAATGATTTCTTCTGGGTTGTTCTTCATCCTGATGATGATGATGTTGACATCCTTCTTTTCTGGTTCATTTGGGGAAATTCACAATCACAATGGGTCTCTTCTCTGTGACATGGAGCTGCCTGATCATTCTGGTTTCAATGCCGCGGTGTCTGCCATTTCCGCTGGTTGTAGCCTCACGACAACCAGATCAAAGAAAGCAACCCTTCAACCAACAAAAGAAGAAGAAATCTCTGTGAAGCCGTCGGTCAAACTCCATCTGAAGCACCGATCGGCAGGTGAATCTGGGGCAAGAAAATCACTACTTGAATCCACAGCGAAAGACCTCACGAGAATTCAGACGCTACATAAGCGGATCGTTGAAAAGAAGAATCAGAACATGCAACAAGTAGTCAACAAATCATCATCATCATCATCGCCGCCGTCGCCTTACAGTTTCCCCGGCGGCCAGCTGATGGCGACCATTCAGTCGGGCGTGAGTCTTGGTTCAGGAGAGTACTTCATGGATGTGTTTGTGGGTACACCTCCTAAACACTATTCTTTAATACTTGATACTGGTAGTGATCTCAATTGGATTCAATGCGTTCCCTGTTATGATTGTTTCGAACAAAATGGCCCCTATTATGATCCAAAACATTCAACTTCTTTTCGGAATATAAGTTGTGACGACCGCCGGTGTGAGCTCGTTTCGTCGCCTGACCCTCCACAGCCTTGCAATAATATTATTAAGCCTCCTGATGCAGCAGCAGATGACCACAATCAGACAACAAGTACATGCCCTTATTTCTATTGGTATGGAGATAGTTCCAACACAACCGGTGATTTCGCGCTGGAAACATTCACGGTTAACCTGACCACAGCAAGCGGAGAGGCAGAGTTCCTGCAGGTTGAGAACGTGATGTTTGGTTGTGGGCATTGGAACAGAGGCCTTTTTCATGGTGCTGCTGGACTGCTGGGACTGGGGAGGGGGCCTCTCTCCTTTTCCTCACAGCTGCAGTCTCTGTATGGACATTCTTTCTCCTACTGTCTTGTGGACAGAAACAGTAATGCGAGTGTTAGCAGCAAGTTGATTTTTGGAGAGGACAAGGAGCTTTTGAGGCATCCACTGTTGAATTTCACTTCTTTGGTGGGCGGAGGCGGAGGGACAGGATCAGTTGATACAACATTCTACTACGTGCACATAAAATCAATATTGGTTGGAGGAGAGGCGTTGGTAAACATACCGGAGGAGACTTGGAATTTGTCAGCAGAAGGTGTTGGGGGTACAATTATCGATTCAGGCACCACGCTTAGTTATTTTGCGGATCCAGCATTTGAGATGATCAAGGAGGCATTCGTGAAGAAGATGGGAGGGAGGTATCCTGTTGTTGAAGATTTCATCCCCATCCTGAAGCCTTGCTACAATGTGTCTGGAGCTGGAGATGGAATACTGGATGAGCTGCCCACATTTGGGATTCTATTTGCGGATGGAGCTGTTTGGAATTTCCCAGCTGACAACTACTTTATCTGGGTTGATCAACAAATTGTTTGTCTGGCAATACTGGGAACTCCTCGCTCTGCTCTCTCCATTATTGGCAACTACCAGCAGCAGAATTTTCACATTTTGTATGACATAAACAAGTCTAGACTTGGATTTGCACCAAGAAGGTGCGCTGATCTTTAACATGCATACATTGCATGCATCTTGTTCTAAGAAGCGAAAAAAAAAAAAAAAAAATTAATTAATTAATTAATTAATTGGATGGGTATATGGTATAGACTATAGTGGTAGGAACAACTGTAAACATGTTGGGATGGGGTAGTTTTTCCATTTTCACTTCCTTAAACAACGCCCAAACCACTAAACATGCATCAAGTTACTTTTTTTCTTGTTTGAGATTCAGGATATTATAGATTGGATAAACATTTTACGAATTATATTGTAATCTTAATTTCTTGTGTTCATATAAGATAATATTGAGCAGCGGCTCCATTTAATCATTTATTAAGTAATTCCATATACACATATTCTATCTGACTTTGTTTTTCAATCAAGATCATAACTACCTGACTAATCTAAGTGCAGCTTATTTTTATATATACTGATTGTTACCCAAATCCAAATCTTAATTAACTTGAAGCGTGTGGAATTTCTCTCTTGAAGCCGGAACTTTTGCCCTTATTTGGAGATTCGAGGTTCTTGATTTGATTTATATAACATCTTTCTCATCATTTTCCTCATCTATCTTTTGTTTTATATGGGTAAGATAGGCTTCAATAACTTAAAATTCACTGTATGGATTTCTGATTTTCTACCAATTAATATATACTCCTCCTAATTCGGTCAAAATACTGGGCCACCTTCAATGTGAATATATTGTAGTGAAATTAAATTGTACCAAACCACCCTAATTTGTAGTCAAATTACTCTCATGTTCTTCTTCTATATTTATAGTTTTTTTCTTTATTCAAAAGCCATATGGCCTCATTTTTTGACTTAAGATACGCTCAACAGAGTTTATTACAGATGTTAATTTTTTCATCCTTCCTACGTGTTCTTAAACTCATCCTTTCTAATTTTTCATCCTACCTATGATTACATTTTATCCTTACTTATAACTTCAAAACGTGAACAAAAAACTTGAAAAAAAATAAACCAATTTCAGGCCCTAAACAAACAATGGGATTTAGCTAGGGTAAGTGCACTTTTATTTACTAGTAAAATGTCACGTACTAAAATTTAATTTGAAACAAAAATCGAGAGCTCGCTCCAACATTATCCTTCGCCACTCCAACTCCATTTACTAATAAACTCAAAAGAGTATATTTGCACTCATTTTTACTTTATTGCAACTACCAACTTGCTTTATCCTTTTTTCTCTGACATCTATGTTAATTTCACACCTTGCGTATTTTGCTTACAGATGTAATGAAACCATTACATTGAACAACAAAAATAATTATGCTTGAAACTGATTTTTTTTCTTTTCCCCAAGGCAAGCAATGAGAACTATTATTGAATCTCTTCCAAAATCGTAAAAAAATTAGAGTTTCATATGAATGGGATCGTCATGAAATGAACTGGATAAAACTCACGCATATTACATACCAAGGAGTAATTGAACGGGACCGTAACGACTCTTAAATTTTTGTGTTAATTACACTCACATTTGCTCTATTGACAGTAAGAAGAAAGATTCATTTTTTTAACAATGATAACCCTCTGATTTGAAAAAATTAACAATAATGCCCCTACCACCTCTGAGGAATTGACTGACTTAATGAAATTTTCATTTTAATCGTTTTCTAATTATTTTATATTATGTGTGTGTGTGTGTGTATATATATATATGCACATACACATGCTGTCTGTCCCAAATCAACTGAAAAAAAATAAACTCAATTTTAGTTCTATGAATCCACAACAACAAAGAACCAAGAACAAAATATATATAATACACATTTATACATATATGAATGATAGAACAATTTAAAGCTCAGGACCAAGTCTATTGACAGCCCCAACTTTCTTAACCATAAAAATAGATTCATTTATGTTCTTCATATTGCGATCATATCCATTAATTTAAATTGCACGCACAGACCTTCAACAACATCGTCTCTTCAAATCCATAGCCCATTGATTGAAAAAAAAAAATTTGCCCCGCGTGAAGGTAGTGAAGGAGTCTATGGTGAGTTGTGTAGGGGTGACCACGGATCAGATCGGATTAGATTAGGCATCAATCCTAATCCGATCCGCTTCCAATGGATTATAAATTTTTTAATCCGCCACCGATTTGTTATCCCACGGATCGGATCGGATTGAATCCGCAGATTGAGTTTTATCTTAATTATCTATTATTATTTTATTTTTATTTTTATAAGTAATATTATTTATTTATCTTTTAACCCTAACCCAAAACATAAAATTTTAATTTATTAATATTAATTAATATATTTAAATAATTATTAACTATTACATCCTTAGAGTACATTAAATTATCATTAACTAATATATTATTTAAAAATATATATATATATATTTCACGGATCGGATCGGATTTTTGACAGCCCAATCCGTAATTGGATTTGTGAGCTACAGATTTGATTTTTTTGAATCCGCCACCAATCCGTCGGTGTAGCAATCCGATCCGCACGGATCGGATCGGATTCGCGGATTATTTGCCCACCCCTATGTTTGGGTATACCAAAAAAAAAAAAGTTGAAAAGAAAATTCCTATTTCAACCCTTATATATACAATTACATAATATCATATTTATTTATATAACTACACTTTTTTTTCCCTCCCTGGCAAACACAACATCACAAAACAAAGAACTAACAAAAAATATCCATCACATCCTAAGCAGAGCTAGAACTGAAGGTGACACAGAAGGAAGAAACCAATCGAAATTCATTGGACTCCGTGATAAAGATGCAAAAGCATGAGCCACCTTATTCCCAGTTCGCTTAACATGGGAAACTGTTGTAGAGGGAAAGACCTTTAACGTTGTTTTAATATCATAAATAAGCGATGCAATTTCTATAGAACAACTCCCACCATCAGCCACAACATCAACAATCAGCTTTACATTTGATTTAAAGCACACATTTAGGAAATGGAGCAATTTAGCCCAAAAAATGGCACGTCTAAGACAAACGACTTCTGCTACCAATGCCGAAGATGAAGGAAATGGTTTAAACACCATTGTGTGAAGGATGGAACCAGAAGAGTCACGAAAGATTGCACCCCCTCCATCGAAAAAGGATTCCACTAAAAATCGAGCATCCACATTACATTTAATTTTCCCAGGTAATGGAGGAACCCAAGATTGAGGAGATAAAGAGTTGTTTATGCAAATTATCCTCCTACATTTTAACCAAACCTCCTTATATTCCCATAATCTAGCCACAACATGGTTCACCACTACCAAAGGACTCCACATCTCATTCTCAAACACTTTTTTATTTCTAGCCTTCCATATAAACCAAACACAAAAAGAAATCAACCCCAAGAAAAAAAATTTATCAGGAGAAGAGGCAGCATGGCCAATAATATTAAAAAATTGGCATTTGAAAAATTGAGCCTGAGGGGTGACAGTTTCCACACCTGTAATGAATGTGGACACTTCATAAAAAGATGAATAATATCATCCTCTTCGGATCTATAACGAGTGCGTTATGACAACATTGCCACAAAAAATGCTTCACTTTAGAAAGAGTTTCACATCTCCACACTGATTTCCAACAAAAAGCATCACGATTTACGGAGGAGTGTAGCATACTACTCTCATCATTCAACTCACTAGGCAAACCAAAAAGAGATGAAACCAGTTGGTAAGCAGATGTAATACCCCTAATTTCAAAAGGATAGTCCTGTTATTTATTAAATTGTTTAAATTACATTTATTTTTATTGTTTTTTTTTTTCATTAACTTGTTTTCTTTAATTGTCTTTTTATTTGAATAATTATTAATTGTTTTGTTTTGTTTACTAAATTGGAATTATTTGTTTAAGTGGTTAATTGTATTTTCTTGCATTAATTGGAATTAATTGGACTTAATTGTTTAAGCGTTTTTAATTAATGAGTTGTCTTTTACTATTTTACTTACTATACTTATTTAATTGATTTAATTACTTAATTCAGTGTGTTTATCTTTAAGAGAATTATTTTAATTATTTTAATTAAATTGTTTGTAATTGGTTTAATTATTTAAGTGCGTAAATTAGGGTTAGGGTTTTAGGTTTCATGGTAGCCGACTTAGTATATGTAGGGTTCTGTGATACCCCCGGATCTCCGGATGCGGGTTGGCCAGGCCCACGCCCGATTACCCGAGGATATCAAACCAATTAGCAGTTAACGAACACAGAATACAATTAAGAAAACAGGAATAAATAAATTGCGGAAAAGAAACTACAATGATAATCCAAAAACTGAAACCTCAGAATAAAATTTTATTGATAAATAAAACTATTTTGTTACAACTGATCCTTCACGAATACAAATCGTTCTCCAATTTATACAACTCGGGAATCCATCTAGTGGACCCCTAAAATATCCCACTGAAAAAAAAAAAACCAAAGCCTAAAACATGAAACAAAATCCTACAGCATTGGTGGAGTGAATGCCTGTATCTGCTCAACACGATCCAGTTCTAAGACTGGAACTAACGAACACCTGTAAAAATAAGAGTGGGTCAGGCCCACATGCAAATTCTTCTCTAACTGCAATCCAAACAGTGACTCGATACGCAGATACACCCTAGATATCTCAACAATAGCTATCTAGTCCATACATATATCCACACTAAGGGACATTCACTGAACTACAGTAGGGGCTTCAACCTGAATAGAAGGTAACATGCGAAAACGCACCCAAAGGTAGGCATGAGTACCTAGACCTAACAGGGTACACCTTAACTTACTATAGCCGGCTACGCATCCACTGCATATACGCACCCTAACCGACGAGTCTGAGACTCAAGCTCATCTCATGGTATCATAACCATATATTTAAAATCCATTCATATCCATCCATAAGAAATCCAATAAGTCGTTCAGCTTATTCAGCCACATAGACTTATATAAGAGATCCAGTAAGTCGTTCAGCTTATTCAACTGCACAGACTTAAATATAAGGAGAATTATGTTTTTATAATTCGTACCCTTATTCCAAAATAGGTAGGACTGAGTATTTTGAATCAGTCTGTCCCTAGTATGACACCGTCCCATACCGGTGCATACAATCCACAAAATCCATATAATTGATAAAACAGATAAAACTATTCACCAATTAAAATCCATAAGGTAGGAATTAACGTTTTGAGCTAAACCATACCTAGTATGCCACCGTCCCATACCGGTGCATACAATCCTCCATATCCATATAAATTACAACATATAAATACTAAGCACGTAATTTATAGTCCAAAACCAAATATCCATATCCTTGCAGAAAAGTGTTTTAAGTTTCAGCAATTTAAAATCCAAAACCATGTAAATTACAACATATAAATACATGTTAGTAATTTACA